TTGCTGAGGGTAGAGGAGGAGAGCGTAAAGGTTGGCTTGAAACTCAGCATCAAAAAAGCTAAGATCATGGCATTCGGCCCCATAACTTCTTGGCAAATAGAAGGGGAAGTCATGGAAGCAGTGACAGACTTCACATTCCTGGGATCCAAGAGCACTGCAGACGGTGACTGCAGCCATGAAATTAAAAGACACCTGCTACTTGGAAGGAAAGCTGTGGCAAACCTAGACAGCATAATAGAAAGTAAAGACATCACCCTGCCAACAAACTTTTGCTGTATGGTCACAGCAATTGTATTCCCAGTAGTAATGTATGGCTGCGAGAGTTGAACCTTAAGGAAGGCTGAGCGCCGAAGAATAGATGCTTTCGAATTATGGTGCTGGAGAAGACTCTTGAGAGTCCCTTGGACTGCAAGGAGATCAAATCAGTCAATCCTAAAAGAAATCAACCCTGACTGTTCCCTGGAAGGCCAGACACTGAAGATGAAGTTCAAATATTTTGGCCACCAAATGAGAAGGGAGCACTCACTGGAGAAGACTCTGATGCTGGGAAAGATTGAAGGTCAAAGAAGAAGGGGACGGCAAAGGATGAGATGGTTAGACAGTGTTATTGATGCAACGAACATAAAATTAAGCAAACTCCAGAGGACGGCGAAAGACAGGGGGGCCTGGCGTGATGTGGTCCATGGGGCCACGAAGAGTCGGACTTGACTGTGCAACTGAACAACAATAAAAGTGCAAAAACACCCTTTGAGCTTATAATTACTGCTGATCAGGTACCTGGAGGTTTGATTGCTAAAATCTAATCCTTGTTACTAAATCTAGAAAATGCTTCTTTATGTAAAAAATGGAATAGGGACATATCAATACTGATTCAGAGGAACTGAGGTGGATTTGGAATTGTGCTATATCTAAATGTATTTCTATGAGTTTAAAATATTTTTTTTTAAAAAAAGTTTATTTCACTCCGAGCAGGTTAGCCAGTATATGTAGAACCATGCAAGATCAGTGTTGGTAATGTGACTCATCTCTGAAAGATGTTTTTGACATATTTGTGGTTCATGTTCCAAAATTCAACCCGTTTGGATATTGGTAGTTCAGTGTATTAATGAAAAATGTGTGTCATAATGTACCTCTTGATCTACAAGTTATTCCGTTGGGTTATCTAAAAGGCACATCACCCTTTCAGATGCAGAAATGTTCTTGAGCTAGCTTACCACAAGCTTAACTGGCAACAGCAGCAAAATAAAATAAACAGTTAAAAAACCCCTCCAAAGGTGATTGGTTCTACTGTGTGTGAAATACTGCCTTATTAAATAAACTGACATATTCTCAAAGGGCCCAGAGAAATAATTTTGAATGTTCAGATAATGGGATTGAGCATTAGGCATTGTTTATAATAGTCTGGAGTAAGGTAAGAAAGTGTTTGCTTATATATTTTATGTTAGTATATCTCTTTTTTGCAGTTGGGGTGTGAAATATTATTATTGTATTATATGTTTTGTGTTATATTTTGAAAAACCTAATTTAAAATTGTTATTTGACCAATCTCTTTCCTGCTTCTGCAGAGCCTCAGAATGAAACACAGAGCAGAGATGCACTTCCTGACAAGAGAGAGACAAATAGCAGCTGCTACATTCCACGACAGGCTCTGGAGGTGCTAATGGAGAAGGTAATAGAGATGGGGCAGGTTTGTTTTGGGGTGCAGATGCAATTGCCTCCACTGAACTAGATACCCATCCCACTCATCCAGTACCTGCCATACAAATACTGCTTACTCTAGGACAGCAAGTATGCATGCCCTTGAAACACTCTCTTTGACCACCTCTAGAAGATTCATGGGTGGCTGGACATGGGCCTGGAGAAAGTTCAGGAATTGCTGGCTATGGAAATCTATCCCATAATTATCCTGGTCATCATCAGTGAGAAGAATGGCAAGAAATTCAGGTAGGTGTTGCTGCTCAGAAGCCAAAGGGTAAAGTCTCTTTCTTTCCAACTGTGGTGTAGTCTCAGGGCAACTCCACCCTTTGGCTCTGGGGTTCAGGGATCCAGTGTTACAGGTCAGGTATGTAGACTTTTATATATTTGGTGACATTTTTGAAGGCACAGAGATAAGCTGTAGGCAGTCACATCATGCTACTGAAAGGGAATTGTGCAGCAACTACACCAGTCACCGAAATGGGCAGACATTTCCTCTACTTAGCACTTTTTTTAGTATACCCACTGTTCTCCTTGACATAGGGCGAACTTGGTCCTGTGCCTCATGTGACTCTACATCGCCTTTTCTTTGTATTCTTTGAAACAGAGCTAAGCATGGGAGGTCTGGTTTCTGACTTGCTTTCTTGCACACACAAATGGCTTGTGTTTCAGGAAGGCCCTACAGCGCCTTGGAGTGACCGAGGAACAACTTTTGGAGAGTGCCCGGAAAGAGGAGGCTCAGCTTGAGAGAGTACCCTGCTTGTATGGCACCATCACCCCTGATGCCTGGAATGACCTTGATGCTCTTATCAGCTGTGTCCGTGCAGTCACCGCTGATGAGCAAAAGAAGGTGGTGTGGGTTGAACAAGTTGTCCCACTGACTCCTTCAGGAGTCAAGCAGCCTTGAGGTAACCATTTATCTCAGGCCTAGGAAAGACTTGAGCAACTTGGGAGATGCTAGTACTGATTCTGGATCAAGTTAAAGGATGACTGGGGCAGGTTGTAGTCCAGCTAACTAGGGTGTTAATAAACAAGCTATTCACTCAGCGAACTGCAAAGAAGCAAATTCTCAAACTTTCTGACCTGTCATGGCTTCTTGTTAGAGGATCTTTTTTGCAGGCAAGAGGTCCCAGGTTCAGTCCCTGGCATGTCCACGTAAAAGAGCCAGATAATAAGTGATGTGAAGCACCTTTGCCTGAGGCCCTGGGCAGGCACCACCAATCAGAGTAGATAATACTGATGTTGACAGACCAATTGTTCAACTCAATATAAGGCAGCTTCATATGTTTACCTCTTACAGGCTGCTATGGAGCACTAACTATTTAGTAAGGGAGAATGCAGAGGAATTAATATAGCTGTGTACATAATCTGTGAGTGGTGGTAAACAGATATTTATTTTAAGTGAGGAATGCCCTGATTATCCCTACTGGTTTCAGTCCTACTTGATCATCTAGTTCAGCGTGAGAAGGTAGTCAGGTTGGCTAGGCGTTACGCTCCGGCTGGAGCTGGGATGGAGTCTGGGGCTGTGGTGCCCTCCAGCCTTCCGTTTTATAGTTCCCATCCCAGGAACAGCCTCAGAATAGTGTGTATATATATATATGTGAGGGGCTTTCACCTGGTCCCCTCCCTCTTTCTTGCCAGTTGCCTCTCCCATGGCTTCATGGGAGTGTTCTGGCCCTTCCTCCCTGGGCCAGCCTAATAAAGGATTTCCTGGAGGTATCCTGACCCTGGACTTCCTCCATGTCCTCTCTTTAAGGCCGGGCCCTTGGAAGAAGGGAATCCGGGCCAATGGCTTCCCTGGTTGGGCCCTCCCTTCTCCTGCTCTGCCCTCCCTTGAGGTTTTAAGAGGCTGCTCTGCCCACCTGCATGGTTTCCCATGATGTCCATATTTATTCAATACATTGTTCAACATTGTTACAAGTTTAAGTCACACTGATTTTTCAGCATTTGTAAGATTTGGTAGGGCTGTACCTCTTACGACTTTTCTTAAAATGAAACAGTTTAATAAATATATTGTGCATATTAAGAAGGTACTTTAAGACCTAACCAAGAATAACCATTGCATATACATTATAATGTGCAAATAGTGACTATCCTATGTTATTTGCAGTGCTCTGGCCTTGCAGTCTCCTCAGAACCCTGTGGCCATGTGGTCACTGTACTTTACTGTACTGGGTATCCCAGAATCCTTCTGTCAACATCTGGTTCTTCAGAATTTTGTACTGTTAACAGCCGACAGCTGTGAATATCAGAGATTGTAGACAACGTACAGAGAGAAAACAGTCAAGTTCTATAGTCTTTGTATGTTATCAGTTTGTCTTTACAGATCAAGCTCATAAAAATAAGTGTCAACTTTTTGTAAAGCAATATGTAAATAGATGGCTCTATTTGAATTATAATAGTGTTGAATTACAATTCTTGGTACCATTGTCTACATTTCCTGCTTCTTGCTGGTGTACACACCAGTGACTCTGAGACACACATCCGAGGGACTTCCCACCTTCTCCCCAGAAGAGGCAACCACCAGGAGTAGGGGAGGGAGCCCCAGCTCTTCCTAGTTGCTGTTGTTGCTTTCAGAAAAGGTATGACTCAGTGAAACAGTCTGCTCAGAACCAGAAATGTCAGCATCAGAACCACTTGCTTCCTCATTTGTTCCACAGACAGTGGTTTTAGCTCCAGTTGCTTAGTCTAGGATTCACTTCAACAGCCCAACTGAATATATCATTTTTAATATGGATCAGCTGTCTTATGTGCCTATACAACCCCAGCTTGCAGACAGGGGGACTGCTTGCTTTTAAGCTTGCTGCCATTCTCCACTGGGTTTCCACATACGCAGAAATTTGGGGAGAGAGTGCTTTCAAAATGATGTTCTAAGGTGGTACAGACTGCTGAGAGAGGACTAAGATGTGCTCCTGTGAAGTTTTGGCCTGGTTCTGTCCTCTTCTACTCAAGTTCCTAGAAAGGCACTATTTCTGATAAACATACCACTGTCTGGACGGTCCATTTCATCCCCTTCTGATCAAGATGGGGCAGTGTTGCCTGCAGAAAGTTCTGTTCCATTTGGCAGTTGTGCTACCTCTTTGACAGCAAAGATGTGGGAAAGGGTGTTCTGCCTGAGCTGGTGGATATATTTTAGTTCCTTCTGTGGGCAGTGACTATGCTCTGGTATTTGACAGCCGCTCCTTCCCCAAACTGCAGCCTCATACACATACTGCAGAGTTTGCAAGTTAAAACAGAAGCCTGCTGTAGCTCTTTTCCTTTTGCCGTTCTTTTGCATGAGGAAGCCTTAGCAACCACAAGGTGGTAAGGAACGAAAATCACGGTTCATTATGGAGAGGCCGACACTGGGGGCTGGGCTTATTCTCCAGGACCCCGTCAGGCACGCACACCCAGGGGTCATCTGTTTCCCACTGCCACTTCAGCACGAGCCCCTGTAGCTCCCGGAGAGCCTGAGCATAGCGAGGGTCAGAAGCCAAGTTTTGGCTTTCAGTGGGGTCCGTGCTGTGATCGTAGAGCTCCCAGCGCTCTCGGTAATAGTAGCTGTGCAACGTCTTGTTCCAGTGGGTGGGCTCCCCTCCCTGAGTCCTGTTCAACAGGTCTTGGAATGTGGGTGAAACATAGAAATCTTGGTCAATGGGGAAGGACATGCGGTTCTGGAGGTTGTGGATGAAGCGCAGGGAGCCACGCTGCACAGCTCGCATGGGATAGTGCATGGTCACCTCGTGCAAGCTCTGGCTCGCAAACACAGTTGCCCACGGTGGTTCTGACAACAGGGCTGGCAGCAGAGACTTTCCTGTGAGTTGCACCCTCCGCTTCCCAAAGAGGCTGTAGCTGGGATATGGCACAGAGAACCAATCCAAAATGGTAGGGGTGATATCTGCAGAGGGAGGGAGAAGGGGGAAATATGATGCAGGCGGCAGGGTTGGAATCTTGCCGACAGGCAAGGGGCTAGATTGGATACCTGAGGAGTATCCTCAATGAAACCCCATTACCCCTTCCCAAGGATTGTTGCATATGCCGTTTCTTTGCCTGGAAAGTTATCAGTGGTTTGTGGATCTTCAGGAATCTTGACCGATGAGCTGGTTCTAACCCAGAGATTTCCCCCTTCTTGCCACTCAATACTGCCTCAATATTCAATAAAGCCTCCATACAATAACAAGTACTTTGCTGCTGCTACCACCTAGGCAGCCCCCACCCACTGCATACTTCTCTCTCTTGCAGCTCATGAGAATGGGAAACACAGGCATCAGAGCCCACACTGCCTTCTGCGGAATCTGGCTTTTGCATGCAGCACACATCGTCACAGCAAAGAGAACACAGTGGCATAAGGGAAGGGAGAGGAGAGGAGCAGCTGCCCCACAAAGCCTGGAGCAAAATATCTTTCAGACTGATTCCATAAAGGCCCTGGATTCCTTCCTAGGTGTTCTTTGCTTCCCCAAAACTTACTTGTGTATTTACAACTCTTACCCAGAAGGCTGGCATAGGCATTGGTGACCTGTCCCCAGCGTGCAGGATGCTCAGGGGAAGAGATGAGGAGAGGTTCAGCTGTGCCTGACCAATACAGGTTGGTTCTGCCACTGGGGAAGGGGATACCATTGTCTGAAGTGTAGATCACAAGTGTATTGTTGCCGAAGCCAGCACTGTTTAGCTCCTCCAGGACAAGGCCAATGCCTGCAAGTCCCAGAATAAAAGAGAATCAGTGGTGCTTACTAAGGATCCTCTGGCTTACACCCATTTGTACCATTTACCTTGCCCCTATGGCAAGGAAGAAACACCTTCATCTTCAGAATCCCTGTCTTGCTTCTGGACGGAGTTTCACTGAACTCCCACACCACGAACACAGATGAACGAATAAACCTCTACAGCTATTTACCATCAACTGATAAGCTGTCACCAGCTTTCACTTCTAGCTACTTGGGCACCTTTTTACCCCCCCTCAAAGACCTGCTACCTTCATGTTAACACTGTACATAAAGCCACATGCGCTAGAAACTTTCTTAAAAGTGGAGATTCCAAGATGCACAAATTCGCTTAAAGATCGCTGCACGCCTGTATTTAAGTCTCACTGAAGAGAATTTGACTTCCATTCTTTCCATTAGAACAGCTGTTTGCCCAGAATGATTGCTTTAGGTTTAACAGCTTAGGCGTAATCAAATGTGCAAAACCACTAAACTCCTGTGATTCTGCTCTTCAAAAGCAGTGCAACTCAAACCTTCTCCCCCACACCCTCACACAAAATTTATCCGATTCAGTAATGGTTTACCTTGATCCATGCGCCCAATTGTTGTGTACTGAGCAGCCAAATCTGAACGAGCGGCTGGTGTATTCTGCACAAAATATGGAACCTGAGACAGCAGAAAAGAGAAACAGCTGTTAGCCAGGAATTTGAGCTGCAGTATAAGGGACACTAAGGGAATACTGGCAAACCGAGCTACCGAGAAGCTGCAACAGCTATGTGAGCATCAGGGGTGCGGGCAAAGCTCCCTCTATTAAACATGTGCAATCTTCTGTCCTGGTCCTGCAGTGGCGAAGGCAAGGGGATGTCGCTTTCTGCAAAATTCAAGTGCCCTGGGAATCCACACCTGCACTTGATCTGGGCTGTAATGCTGGGGTTTCCAGTCTGGGATCCAGCCCATTCCAGTCTCTCCATTGCCAAATTTTTCACAAAAGGCTCCATACTGGGGTTGAGAGTGGCCACAGCGGTGAGGATCATGGAAAGCAACATACAAGAAAAAAGGCCTGAAAGTTGAAAAGGCAGGTCATTCAATGCACTCAGAGGTCATTCAAATACACTCTCATGGTGCTGTATGCCTTCTAACCCCTTTAAACAGAACTCCTTTGGAGTACCCCTCTCATCCACCTTACGCCAGCTCTATGATTCCCCACATCCACATATTCCAGTCTTAATTCTGGTAAATCACTCCTGTTCCTCTATTGCCCCTTGCTGGGTCTCCTGCAATCCTACACTGCAGTTCCCCAAATATGTTAGCACTGCTTCCCAAAGTCCTGCTGTGGTCTTTTTACCTAATAGTGCTACAAACCGTGTTGGTAAATGCCCCCTTGCCTTTGTGTCCACAATCTACCTACTATGCTATTGTTGGACTCCCATCACTAATGGGACTCAACAGCAAGCCGCATCCACCTGCAATCCCATCCTTGGACTCTCCCCTTGAAACAAACTGCTATCTCAGCCTACCATCTGCCAGTTCTGAAGCTGCCCCTTAGCCCCAAGCCACAGCCACCAGATAGCCCCACCAATATGGTTATGTTCTGAATTGCTCTTAATATCAGTCTGTCCCAGTCATGATGAACTCTCCTTGTAAACCCACCATTCTGTGAGCCCAAACCAAAGGACTGCCCCCCCTCCAGCTTTTCCAAGGACTCTCTTCTAACCACAGGCCTTGGATCACCCTATACTTCTGCGCTTTTGCACTGTCTGACCCACTGAGCTTGGGTGCCTTGATGCAATGTGCCCAGATATTTTCAGGAAGCTACTCTGTTACGTAATCTTAGCCACAGATGTTAGGATCTTACTTCTCATCTTGGCTGCGGAGGAATTTCCGAACGAGCAGCTTGATCCGAGTGATATTCCTCCCCACCTGCAAGACAGAGCCGTTCTCCTCAGTGTAGGCAAAGTCAAAGGGATACACAGCCTCCGGCCCAACGTGTTTCTTCCCGACGATCCCTGTTGCAGAAAAGTTCAGTCAGAGACTAATGAAAGAGAGCTAATGAAAACACATAATATTTTCCTGCATTTTGATGCTAACAAAATTATCAACTGCCAGCTGAAAAACGAAACAAAACCCAGGCAAATACATTCCAGAGCAATCCAGCAGAAGGGCACTGAAGTCTGCAGACCAATCAGTCTGAGTTGCTGATTGCCACCCAAGGTCTGCCTCCCCTAAAACAAGGCATACCTTTAGAAAAAGAGACATTTCTGCCAAGGCTTGAACCGCATAACCCCGTCCTAAATTATTACTATTGTTTTATGGAGTACCACTGTGCACTTAGCACTTGACATAGTAATATAAAGCAAGACATAGGTCTGTACTCCGCAAGGGGTTTACACACTGTATTCTGGCTGAGGGGCTGGGATGGAGCTTAAGCTTCAGTGGGAGAACAGTATCTGCCCCTGCTGGCTATGCAAGGGCTGAGCCACTGCCTTTAAACACACAGACAGAATGCATTTTGTTCCTTCACAAGTTCCAAGCCAGAGCCTCTGACTTCGGAAACTTGGTCGGAATCAAAGTCCTGATGAGCCTTGGCTCCAATTACGCTCTATTTTAAATCAATCCCCTTCTATCTTGGGCTGCTTTTCACACTGAGTGCATTTTATACTCAAAGTCGTATAATTTTATATATCTCATACACATAAAAAACATAAATAGTGCAGGATGCATAAATACTAAAAAACACTGCCTTCCCCTTTTACGATTCAAGGAAGTAGTGACCGAAAAACAAATCAGCAGAATTGGCAACTTATACACATATTCAATCTTCATAGGCAATGCGATACATTTTGTAGTTGTGTATCTGTACCTGAAGTTTTGTACAAGAAGACGCTCTAAGTGAAAGTTAGTCAAGAACACGGTATATTCAGCCTGCTGTTCTACTACAGAATGGGCATGTTCTATGGCAGGGTTAACTGCAGCTCCTGGTGTGACATCACTGGGTGTGTTCAAATGGGCCGTTATTCCGCTTTTGACATGCTTCAGTAACGGGTTTTATATCTACGTTCATACACCCAACATCTGCGCACCATCCCCAGCCGTTGCTTTCCGGCTCAAACCCCCTTTAAAACGGAGTATTTTGTTACCAGGTCCCCAAGTGGTGTTTTCCCGATTCTCCGGTTCTAGCCACACTTTTCTGACATCTGATTGCTCCTGCAGTGTCGAGCCACTTCCGCTTGGAAGCCCGAGGCTTCCGCTCTTCGCCCGCCATTTTATTTTTGCGTTGGCGGTATGCGCACAGGCGGAGCTCCACTCCCGCGTTATTAAAAACAATGTTTAAACTGTGCCTAGTTTTGTTGGTTAGATGGGTTCGGGATCTCAGGGAGGCCAGGTTCGGGGTAAAAGTTTAAAGGGAAGTGTTACAGCAGTTGGGTTGAAGTGGAAATCGCTGTTCTGCGCACGCGCGAAAATTTTAATTCTACAGATGGCCGCCTGTGCGCATGCCCAAACTGAGAGGGGGGGGGAACACCGACGCACGCTCTCGCATGTGGACGGCGGGGAGCAATGTGGCTGCACAGCGATCAGGAGGTGAGTGTGATCACGATTCTCCAGGTTTAAAAAAAACGCATCATGACAGGAGCAATTTAAACCGCTCCCAGCACGCCGTCTGACCGTAGAAAAACACTGGAGGGAGTACTGTGGAAAGTGCCATCAAGCTGCAGGTGACTTATGGTGACCACACAGTGTTTTCTAGGCAAGAGACAAAGAGGTGGTTTGCCATTACTTGCCTCTGCATAGCAACCCTGGACTTCCTTATTGGTCTCCCATCCAAGTACTAATCAGGCCAAAAATCTGATGAGACTAGACTAGCCTGGGCCATTTGGGTCAGGGGAAAGGGAGCACAGCAGTGGACAAAATGGAGAGACTTCATCTTCTTTCCCTTTTGTTCATCTCTGTACAATCACAAAGTGGAGACTTTAATCAAGGTGTGTTATAAACAAGGTACTAGAGCAGGGTACCAACTTGGAATTCCAAATGAGTTTGGGAGGAGAAATTCTGCTTCTGTGGGCAATTTACCTGTCCAGATCCCTGCCTTGCTGAGCAGCAGAGGAAGGCTACGAACACTGTCAAAGGAGTTGAAGTGATGTACATCCTGATGGAGCCCATACATCCCATTCTGGTGCTGTGAAGAAAGAAAAACCATTCATTGTGAGCAGAATGGGGAAGCAATAGTTAGAAACAAAGGATCTTCCACAACAGAGCTCCAAGGTCACAGGAAAGGACTGAGCCATTTACTCCCACTGCAAGTTCTTCCCCCCGCCCCATCTGACAGGCATTACCTGGGGCAGGCCCGTCAGGAGGCTGGCCCGGCTGGGAGAACAGCTGCTGACAGAGGTAAAGGCATTCCGGAAGATCAAACTACGCTGGGCCAAGGCATTCAGGTTTGGAGTATTGATGGCTGTGTTGTTGTACGCACCGCTCTCAAAACCACCATCATCAGCTGCAATGGAGGGGTGAGAGGTCAAGTTGTAAGATCAGAATCCCCACTATAATACCTTCAGCATATTTGCTCCCATCCTTATGTGGCTGGAAGTAGAACTGAATTCTGTTGCTCAAGCTGAGTGTAGCTGAATGAAGATCTCAGATTCAAATCCCTGCAACTCACTCAAACATTATGCCATGTCTGAATCACCAGTACGTTCATCCTACATAAACTACATTGTTCTCAGATGCTCTTCTGACAAGATTATAGTCATAGTCACAGAACATAGGACTCTGAAGTCTCAGTCACCTAATGATACCATGAACACATAGGTTCCATTAATTCAGTCAGCAGGACATACAAGAAACTACAGTAACCCCAAATGCATACCAGGAAGAAACACAAAGAAGGTATCTGGATATTTTAGACTCTGATAACTGTTTGAAACCACTAGAAGACCTATCATGGTGGCAAAGAGCCCAAATAGAATCCAGACTTACTAAAGATAAGAAAATTGGGTTTTATAAAAACTTACTAGAGATTGAAAAGATTATTATATCCACGGATTCAAAGCTCATACGAAGGCTTTATGTACTTTTACTTGATGATTTGATGTTGGAGGAAGTTGTAAAAGGAAATATGATTCAGTGGGCGCAGAATATTGGGCATAACATTAATTTAGAGCAGTGGGAGCAAATATGGAAGAAAAATATTAAGATTACGAAAGCTATTCCATATAAAGAAAATGTTTATAAAATGTTTTATAGATGGTATGTAACACCTGAAAGGTTAGCTAAAATTGACCCAAAATGCTCTAATAAGTGCTGGAAATGTGAAAATAAGGTTGGTACATTTTTCCATATGTTGTGAAAGAACTAAAAAATATTGGGTAATGGTATATGAAATTTTGCAAAAAATATTAGGTGCAGAGGTACCATTTACACCAGAGGCTATGCTGCTAAATATACTACCTGAACATTCTAACAAAGATGATTGCTATATGATTGTTTTCCTCACTATGGCGGCCAGAATCTTATATGCAAAATATTGGAAATCACCAGAGATACCAACTAAGCGAGAACTTGTAAACAAAGTACTAGAGGCTGCAGAACTGGACAAACTGACTCTATTGATAAAAGGTGCAACGGACTCTATATTTCAGAATACTTGGGTACGGTTCTATAACGGGTATGATAAGTATATGTAGGCAAGTTAAGAATGGACAGAAATGAAATATATACTTAGATCAATAAAGATAGACATAGATGCTTACCTACACAGGTTACAAGAATATTAGATTAAGGCAGTAATATAAATATCTGTTAAAAAATGTAAACAACCCCAGTATATGTATGTGTGTAATGTGTGTATATGTCAATATGTTAATGTGTGTACTTTATGTGTGTATGTGTTATATATTTGAAAAACCTTAATAAAATTCTGCCTCTTTGAGGCAGTTAAATAAGAAACTACAGAAATTACAGAATAGAGGAGAAAATACCATAGATCTTACCATTCTAAATCCTTCACAATCCTGTTTATTCTGGTTCCACCCCACTAAAGCATACGGGGCTCACCCACCTCTAATTCAATACCATCCACACATTTTCTTCTTTTCTTATAAACAGCGGTTGAGATTTTCCATCCAAGAATACAGCTTCACCCAGTGCTGCTCACTGCAGAGGTTCTTAATTTCCACAGGCAAAACTTCACCTTTTTTCGGACAGCTCAGATCCACAACAGTGATGTGCCAGCAGGCAGAAATTCAACAAGCAATGCCTTCTACATGAGTAGATTTATATGCTGGGGAAAAGCAGCATCTGTTGGATTCTCTGCCCCCCCATATCATACTGCTTTTAGTGGGGCACTTCCTGTACCAGCATAAAAGACAGCAACATAGGTTAAATGCTTGGTGTCAATAATGCCCGTTTAGATAAGGAAGCAGGCAGCTCAGAATGGACCTTCAAACAGGACTCAGTCACCCTCCATCCCACTCGCCAACTCAGAGGAAAGAGAACTACTTTGGGGTCTGGTCACCTTCCATCCGGCCCTCTAAGAGGGCTTGCAGTAAAACAGGTTGCTGATTAGTGTTCTAGATACTTATCTATCCCGCGCGGTGCCTCCTGGGTCAGTCTCAGTACAAGGAACAGCGGGGAGCGTCCGGCCCCCGTTTGCGTGCATCCCTAGAGAGCGACGGCCGGCCCACTAGGGCCCCCGAATGCCCTCGCTTACCTACAATAAGTAGAACATTGCGAGATCTGCCCGGCGGCTTCCTAGCGTGACAGAACGCCAGCAGGAGTGCCAGCGTCCAACCTCGTGCAAACACCTGCATACCGACACTCTTCCCGGGAAGCGGGGTCCGAGAACGAAAGGCTCCCTAACGCCGCCCGGTAAAGCGGCAGTCCCCGTTTAACAGCAGCTCCGCCTCTCGCCTGGGTCACATGAGATGTGCCGGGAGTAGCTGGGTGGGTGGGATCGTCAGATCTGGAGTTCCGTACGGCTGGGGGTGGCGAGGCTTCGAAGTGTGGTGAGTTCGAGTAATCTGGGGCGGGGAGTCGGGTGGCTTTGGAGAGGTTTATGAAAGGGGAATCGGCTATTAGGCCGGTGAGCCCAGAGTAGGTCCCGCGAACTCATTTTGCCGGACATGGGTATTTGTTGTAACTCTTCTTCGTTGTTTGTTTTTTTAAAAACCTACCCAGCCCTGTGTCTAAACGCTGAATTGCCCTACATTGGCTCTGATGTTGTGGGGTTCTTGTGCTTGTTTCTGCCCTAGAAGATGGCTTATGGGTAATTGGAGCAAAAGTTCGACGACAAAATCTGTTTTAGACTTTAATCTGGAACGTATAAATAGCGTGTAGACGCTCGGGCATATGCAGAATGCGCTTTCCTTATCATTGAGAAGAGACAACCCTCTCATCTGGGTTTCCTGGATGGAAAGCTGGTCTTGAACAACAGTGCTTCTTAGATGCTGAGATGGCCCTTTTTATTTAAATGGTAGTGCTGCAGACATCCTCTATTTTAGAAAGCATATAACTGAAATTTGAGATTAGGGGCATCCTATCTAGGGCTTTCCCCTAGGGATGTTATTTATTTCCAAAGTTTTTGTCCCATTTTTCTATTTAATGAATACGCAACATGCTGTACAATACTGATAGCCTGAACCTATGCTGGTAATAAATGCCACTGCAGACAAGCGGATTTACATCTAAGTAATTACACCTTGAGTCAACAACAATTAGAAATTATTTGAACAGTTACAGTTTCCCCTTGAAAGAAGGTGTCACTGGTACTGTTGTTGGCAGGGCCTAGCCAGTATTTGGTGCCTTTTGTTTATAGCCATAGTAGCTACTTTGACCCTGGCCTGCTTGTGCAGGTAACCTTAGTCTCTGTGCAGTACTATTTTTAAGGATACCTATGGAACTGTGCCCCCAGCATCTGTGATACTGCAAAGAGATGCTGAGGAATCCCCCCCCCCCCCCCTTGGCATAGCAGTTTGTTAACACAGTGTGGCCTTGTGCTCCCATTGGTTAAGACAGAGAGATATTTCCTTATGGAAACTCTGGAGGTAAAAGAGGAGAGACAGAAATTATTTATGCAGAAGCAGAATTCTTTTTTCCCTGGCTAGTGGAATCAAGTCCCTTTTGGCGATTCCTGTTGCATTCCGTTCTGTGTAGAGTTGTTCTCCCATTGTAAGAGTTTCCCATTTGTGTATGTCATGTACTGTGTATGTCCAGCACTCCAGGATATGGTTTTGTATTCTCATTGTCCAGTTTTCATCTTATAAGAAATGCATTCTTGCCGCCTTAGTCTGCTTCACGCATATAAAGTAGCTGAAGCCACAGCACACAGTGCGCCTGGTTCAAGCTCAGAGCCCCTTCCTTCCAGATGCCTACTGCCATTGGTGAAGGCAGAGAAAAAAAATTAGGCTACAGTGCACTATGCCTGGATCCAGAAGTCACTGAGAATCACCCCCCAAGCACCATTCTGCTGTACTGGTTGTAAGCTGCTTTGGGATCCTGGTGGTGTTTTTTTAAAACAAAAAAACCCACAACCAGGGTAAAATACAGTTCATACTGTAGATGCTAAGTGTTGATATGCTGTCAACATTTGAAACAGAATGGTCAGAATAACCTAAACACTGCTCATGGCTGGTCCAGTTGCTCTTCACAGGTGTTTCTTTACCCTTGTTGCCTGAATGGGATTTTGCTGCAATGACCATTTCAGATGACATCTTCTCTTTCACTGCACCTGTGACCTCAAGATTCCTCCAAGGTGTTATTTTCTCCCCCTCCCCCTTCTCTTGCAGTATGGCCTCTATTCCTCCTTCATGGGCTGCTTCATCTATTGTCTCTTGGGGACTGCAAAAGATGTGACACTGGGCCCTACAGCCATCATGTCATTACTGGTTTCTTCCTATGCATTCCATGACCCTGCTTATGCCGTCCTGCTTACGTTCCTCTCAGGCTGCATCCAGTTAATCATGGGGCTTCTACATCTTGGTAAGATGCGGCCAGTGGTATATTGGATCAATTAATCATTTGTCAAACCCACTGTCAACCTAGCCAGAACAAGATGCTTTAGAAATCATGACTGGAGAGAGGATGGGGTAGAGGTAAACCAGTTCCTGCTTTCTGTTTCAAAGTTCTCATAGGAGGGACACTGAGATGTGAGAATGCTTTCTTGGTCCTCCATGAATTACTCACATTTGTAATTCCAGCAATTAAGAACATAAGAATAGCCCTGCTGGATCAGACCAGTGGTCCATCTTGTCCAGTATCCTGTTTTACACAGTGGCCAACTAGTTGTGCTGGAGGGACAACAAATAGGGCATAGAGGCCAAGACTTTCCTATAATGTTGCCTCCTAGCACTGGTACTTAGAGGTTTGCTGCCTCTGAATATGGAGGTTCCCTGTAGTTGCCATGGCTTGTAGCCATTGATGGGTCTGTCCTCCATGAGTCTGTCTTAAAGCCATCTATGCTTGTGGCCATCAGTATGTCCACTGGCAATGAATTCCACAATTTATTTACATATTGCATAATCATCTGTTACTGTCTGCCTACACTTTTGCAATGCCTATGCATGCGAGCTTTGATCAGTGAGTGTACTACAAGAAAGATTAATGTGCTTATTTGAATATTTAGTTAGGCTAGGTATGGGGAAACCTTGGTTCAAATCCCCACTCTGCCATGAGGCTCACTGGATGATTTGGGGCCATTTATTCTCTCTCAACCTAAGCTACCTCTTGGGATTTGGGGGAAGATAAAATGAAGGAGAGGAGAACTTCCCTGAGTATCTTAGATGTATAATCAAGCTATTCCACAACTCTCCTTGAATTGGATGGCTTCAAGGCTAGATTTACTAGAAGGTAAACATGAGTTTCTGTCTGGAACCTTACTTCATGTGTGAACTTTTTATGTAGTAGAAAATGGGGTTTCCCTTCCCAGCGTTTCCCAATTGTCATTATCCTTGCTGCCCAGGAACAGCAGGAAGCCAAACCAGGTACTGAGAGCACTTCTGTGTGTCCTCCTAGATACATGGATCTGGCAAGAATAACTTGGCTGAGCAGTTGCAATGGGACACGGGATGAAGTGTGAATGGTTATGTTGGGTCCTGCCCTCACAAAGCTAAATGGAGATTCTCCATTCATTGCAGGTTTCCTACTAGACTTCATCTCATATCCTGTCATTAGAGGGTTCACTTCAGCTGCTGCAGTCACCATTGGCTTCAACCAGGTCAAGGTAGACTCTTCATTGCCTCAACTGGCCTTTGTTCTAACAGTCCACGTTGTATGGGCACACTTTTATTAAGTCTTCCCAGATGTTCAGCTGCCAAATGTGTCTGTCCAAAATGTGGCTCATTGAGTGAGTGGCTTAGTGAGACCTTGTGGGGCAAGGTTAGTGGAAGATGCTGGAAGTAGGTTGATCCACTTAAAAAACAAAACAAAAATGTATAGCGCTCCTTGCATCAAACTTAGAAAAATTGCCTTTCATTCTGCTGTGCTGTTCTTTATGCAGGGAGTCTGGCATTTGTGAGGAGGAAACATCTTAAATATTTCACATTCAAAGCAATCAGGCCTAAGTATGAACCTTAATATGAAATAGATATATGACAGATTGGATATAAAGACTTTTCATGCAAGGGTTGAAGGCCTTTCTCTTCCCCATTTTATGCCAAGTATATGAAATTATTGAGTTGTCTGAAAATGGAATGACATCTGTCTGATGTAGCTAGGAACCTCTATTGCTTTTCTTGCTGACAGACCCATTGATTGATGTGTTCAGTCTTGTGGTGAGTAGAGGCACTTTTGTGATATGGTAGAAGAAGAAGAGATTGGATTTATACCGCACCCTTCACTACCCAAAGGTGTCTCAGAGAGGCTTACAAACTCCTTCCCCTTCCCCTTCCCCTCCCCACAACAGACACCCTGTGAGGTAGGTGGGGCTAAGAGAGCTCTGACAGAAACTGCTCTTTTTCATGAACAGCTCTTATCACAGCTACGGCTTGCCCAAGGTCATCCAGCCAGGTGCAAGTGGAGGAGTGGGGAATCAAATCCGGTTCTCCCAGATTAGAGTCCGCGCACTTAACCTCTACACCAAACTGGTACAAAATGAAAAGCACTCAAACATCTGAATTATTGAGGGGTGGGGTCTAACTAATCTTTTTCACTTTATTAGCTAATTTTAGAAGAGACCTGAAGAGCAAACCTACTTCATGTATTGGGCCACCTGTAATGTTGATATTCACATTTGTTATCTGCGGTGCTGGATATTTACCAGTACCCCACCTCACTGTAAATGCTGCTGTTGATTTATAATACTTGGAAGTGAGAGGGGCTGGGCCAATCTGGCTGATTCCTGTCTGTGTCTTTAAACACTGTTGGATCTGATGCAACACGAATGTTTCCTGTGTGGTTGACCTCAGCCAGCTATTTACAAGTGGGCAGATCATAGCAGCTGCCTTCTTACTTGTAAGGGGTTGCCGGTTCCAAGAAGTAGTTTTGAGATGTGGGTAGCCTCTGTTTCTTTTGACAAAGTAGGCTTCAGAAAGGCTCAGGTAGGCTAGAAAACAGTCCTAGGTAAACATACGTGTTTGATGAGCAAGTACTCTAGCAGAGGTTGTTTGTGCATCCCTTTACCTTCCTAAAACTGGTAGAGAGGAGAAGGGAAAGATTCTTCTCTTGGACGTTTGTACAGTTAGACATTAAAAGCCATTTTACTTTGGCAGGGGGAGTACAGTGCTTAAACTTTTGCAGCATAAGTTAACTGTGTGCATATATGGGGGGTTGCCAAAAAGGAGTCAAATTTTACATTGTAATGGTACATCTTTGCCCCTCTAAAATGTAAAACTATGAACTAAAATTTAAAGCTTATCTTTCTTAAAGCACATTACATTTTATAAATGGCATGTGAAATACTGGAGCATATGTGGACACTGAAATGCATTTCTAAGGTCAGTGCAGACACAGCTGCTGTTCTAATCATATTTTGGTGCATTTTCATGTCCATGTCAATTAGCATGCTCAGGACAGAGATGCAAGGAAGATAATGGGAAAAGCTATGACACATACTGCATTTGTTGTCTATACATTTTCAGACAAGTCTCTGCTAGCAAGTACTGTGAATGCATATTTTTCTTTTTTTCCCTTTTTTAAAAATACTTTAAAAAATTATTTTATCATTATACACATTAATATTTCATTAGTACAGATTTCCTTCAAAGTAAAGAATCTTCCCACAGTTAAGCTTGTAGTACCAAATTAAGACATACAAGTAATATTTTTTAGCCGTTTATACAATTTTGCCCAAGTATTCACGAAACATTTTTCATCTTTCCCTTTTAAACATAATGTTTATTTATTCATTTCAACCATGTTTAGTAATTTATCTATTATTTCTCCTCTTTCCGGAATTTTTTCCAATGTCCAATATTTCGCATAGCTAATCCTAGCGGCAGTCACGCAATGTATCACAATTATTTTATCATATTTTTTTTCAAATTTTTCAGGGGTCATATTCAATAAAAACAATTCTGGCTTCATTGGTATAGCAATTAAAGTAATTTCTTGTAATATTTTTGTATCATTGACCAAAAAGCTTGTGCATTACCACAAGTCCACCACATGTGAAAGTATGAGCCCACATTCTGTTTACATTTCCAGCATAAATTTGATGTTACAGAGGAATATATAGCCAACCTAGTGGGGTACAAATACCATCTGTTTACTACCTTGTAGATATTTTCTTTAAAAGTTGCCGTTTAGTGATTTTAATGTTAGTTTCCCAAATCTTATTCCATTCATCCCATTTCAGCTCATATCCTAAGTCCTTTACCCATAATTTCACAGGCCCCTTGGTTAGCCTTAGGGGACTGACAGGCCACTGTTTTTGGCTGGGGAAAGAGATTAACCTTCAGCAAAGATTGCCTTTGAGATTACAAAGCCTCCTTTGTTTCAGATGGTCTCAGGGTCCCATGCAGCTTAGTTCCTTAGACTGTTAACCTTCTTCATAACCTTCTTCTGTGTATGCACGCTGTCGTTACACCAACCTGGTTTGTGGATTTTATTTGTTTGCATAGGCACTCCTTGGCCTGCAGAACATCCCACGGCAGTTTTTCCTGCAGGTGTATTACACCTTCTCTAGAATTGGAGAGACAAGGTAAACGGACCTTTCCATGCCTGTCTTCCCCCTTCCTTTTAAATTCCTTATTAGCAGGTTGTCACAGATAATGCATAAAGGCAGTATCTGGTACATGGGTGGGAAGAACAAAACCTCTAGGTCTCTGCCAGGCCTAAGCAGTTTGTTTCCCAGCATTTTTGGTTCTTGAATGTCATGGAACTTGGTCTCACCAAACTGTGTTTCCTTGAGAGGCCTGGATGTAGGAATGTATTGGGCTGCTAGCGAGAGTGTGAGGACAATGCATTTTTAAAGCTATATCCTCCTCCATGAGGGCTAGGGACTCATTTTAAAATAAGGCTGTGGTGAGTGCTTGTACAGCTATAGAAAGCAGAAGGATTCCTAGTATATAGCCTTGCTGTGCTTTGTACTTGATTGGAATATAGATCCATGTGTTTTATTACATATCTCTAGAGCATGCAGAGTTTGGCCTGCAGATCCCATGAAATCTGAACCGGCCAAATATACTTTTGACATATTCTGAGCAAGGATGCTAAAATGCACACACCTCTTGTGGGAGTGAATAAGATTGGACCTCGCGATATAACCAATTTTTCTGACATGCACAGCTTATTTAACTGGCAGGAAAATAATTAGGGTTTTGGCTTATAGGGTGACTATGATCACCAGTGACTCTGCAGGAAGGGACATTCTCAGAAGGGGACTGTGATTGATGGGGGTCCCTTTCAAGCCAGTTACTGATATGATTATAACTTATGTGCAGAGTGGGGGATGCCATTCTTGGGCTCATCTGCCTGATCGTGCTTACAGGACTGCAACAAATGAAAAACCACATCCCCAGGGTGTTCCGGATGGAAAAATTATCTGTCAGGATCAGCCAGCTTATTGTCTGGGCAACAGCAACAGGTTTGTCTGTTCTGTCTTGAATGCTAGTTTTTAGTTCAACCTGTTCCTGGCAGAGTGCTGAATTGTATTGCTCTTTTGGTAACAGTCCATGGCTCTGATTGGCTGTGCTGATACAATGGCTCAGAATGTTCAGTTGCTTTTGAATAAATTCAGTAATAGTTTTTTAAATTAAAAAAAAAAGAACGTTCAGTTGCTCAGGGAATAAAGCAATCTGCAGTCTGGCTTCTGTGAGGGAAGGTAAATGTTATGAGCTCGGCTGGGCTTTAAACTTCATGGGATGGCTGAGAACTGAGAAGAAAGGGAGAGCCCAAGCAGTAGAGAAAGACGATGCAGAGGAACGATTATGAGAAACTGCACTCTAAAGAAGGGTGGCCAGAGCTTGGAAGGGGAACTAGGAGTTGAGAAAAGAGGCTGTAAAGAAGCTTCACATTGGTCATGATCTGATGATCACATGACGATATGGGGAGGGAGGGAGCAGTTTTAGGGAGGCTTAAGTTACAGGATAGCTAACAGACAAAGTAGTCTGTTGCCTTAAGAATAAAGATTATAGAGATATGAAACTGAAGAAAGGAAAAGCCAGGCTGAAAACATGACTGTGGCAAAACTATAAACAGGATGCAGATACAGGAAGGGTTGGGGACTATTGGCAGGCAGAGGGAAGACAACAAAGGTGGAATAGACTTCCTGAGTCTAGACCATGACAGGAGGATTCTGCCTCTTGTGTTCCTACAACATCATCAGTTGGCAACCCTCAAGTGACAACAAGAGGAAGCAACAACAGGGTTGGATTTCACATACCTACTAGAATTAATCAGCCAGTTTTTGGGGCTGCAGGCTTCTGGGTTTTCATATTTTTCAGCTAGAAAGAATGATATTTCTGTGGATTTGTGCTGGGCTGTGATGCCTCTCTAAAATCAATCTAATCTAAAACAGCCAGGCTAAATCTTGAAGAATCCTGGATCCTTATCTGACCCCTAAGTCACTAACTGCTCACTTTTTTCTTAGCTGTTTATGCATTCAGTAGCCTGAACACGTCCTTCTTTCAACGTGCTTTCCTATAGTAGAATTAGATTCCAGGAATCCTGGCTTCGGACCCCACTATAAACTTGCTATATATTCCCTTTCTACATTTGGGTGTAGAATCTAGGAAACCTGATTCCTTTTTCCTTGTTTTAACATGCTTGGCCCCCAGGCCTCCGAGAGGTATGAATCCTGACTCCAGGTTCTCTGTTCTAGCACAAGTCTTGTCTGTGTTCTCACGACATGAACCTCACGGCATAAGAAATCAGTCAATCTAGATCAAAGACTCTATACTGCTTCTATGTCTAGAGTACCCACTGCTCAAAATAATTACCCATACTGACAGTTGTGAACCCTCTCCCTTGCAGTAGAATGTTGAGGGGAACTGAGCTTCCTCTGGGAACTCTGAGCATTTCCTTGTTTTATTTTTTTGTTGATACAGAAACAACTATAGATCACAAGTAGAAGCTAACAGCTCAATGAGAGGTGAAAGCCATAGCTCTTCACCCCACCGGCTCCCATGTACAGACTCAGTGGCGATCTATAAAATCCTTTCACACTGATGAGACGTTATACTAAAGAGCTCACCAGGAGTGCTGGGGTAGGCAACCTTTGGCATGTGTGCTGAATGGTGGAACACCAGACCATTTTGTTCTGCATACAGGGTGGTTTTCCACCCAATGTGCTCTCCTGTTGGCTTACACCTGTCATTGCTTCCTGGATCTGCATAGCTACCAGCCATGTCTGAGATAAACTCCTGGGGCACTGGCTGTACTGGCTTGCAGGCTCTGAGTACCAAGTTTTAGAAGTCAGGCAGGGCGGGGTCGTTCAGTCCGAAGTCAGGGTTCCAGAAGTCAGGTTAGGCAAGGTCATTCAGTCCAAGGGCAGGCTTCCAAGAAATAGGCAAGGCAGAGTCCATGGTTTAATGTCTATCGTACATGTTGCGTCCATGCCTAATAGCCTATCTTGTAAGTATGCAAGGACTTCCAGTGAAAAACAATAACAGTCATTCACTTAACACTGGAGATAACACTCCGTTTCTCTGCCAAGCCGTTCTTAAAGGTAAACACACTCAGTTCAGCTGTCTGACTCCTTTTGCTTCCAAACAATATATCAACACAAGGTTCTCGCTGATTGATATGTTTATAGTACAAAATATAGTAAAAGCAGTTGAAGATGTAGTGGCTATACAGACTTTTCGAAAATCCTTTATCAAGACTGAACTTATATTGAAGCTATTAGAAAACATACAAAACAAAACAGTCAGTCAAACAATAGTCATCAAGGTCATGCAAAATTACAATTGCTCCTCAAAGAACGGTTAAAAAATCCTGTACGCTAGATAATTTTAGTTTGCTTACCCATGCCTACAGACACAATTTCCAGTGCTGAAGCTCCTGATTCTGGCAGGATGAGGCGTTTTGGCCTTTACAGCCCTGAATGGCATGCTCACATTAAGTCTCACTGTTCAGGTGTTTCCAATTAAGTGTACAAAAGTTTTTTAAGCTCTCTTAAACCAGTACTATATGTATGCTATCCAGTTTCTAGAGTTAGATAAATGAAGACATGTCCAAACTTACATTAAGACCAGTTGGTACGACAGAACAAAGTTTATGTATAAACCATGCCTCCTTTTGTAATAAAATACAATCAATATCCTTAGTATTATATTTATGTGGTTTATAGTGATAATTAACACAGTACCTTAGGCTTTCAGGGGCATGACTGTATTTTGGACTATAAATATATCAATCAGCAAGAACCTTGTGTTGATATTTTGTTTGGAAGCAAAAGGAGTCAGATAGCCGAACTGAGAGTGTTTACCTTTAAGAACGGCTTGGCAGAGAAACGGAGTGTTATCTCCAGTGAATGACCACTAATAGCCTATCTTCGCTGGTTTTTATAGCCCCATGCCTAAGGGTCATGCTTACAGCCAGCTGCTCAGAAGTAATCCTGCAACTACTCATCTTTGTCATCAGCAAGCAGCTGGTGTTGGGCCAGAAAGTGTGCACTCAGCCTTCTTGCCTGTAGTTCTGTTCTCGGCATCTGTCTGTGGCGCTCTAAGGGTACAGGAGATACTGGTGGATTGGGAACAGCTATCTGAGGTTCACCTGCTGAATCAAGGCTGGAGGGTGTCACCAGCTGTTGGCTAGGAATCCTCGTTCTCTTGCTGGTCAACTTCTGCTAATTCAAGGCTGGCTACATGGGGCTCCTCTTCTCCTGAGGAGTCCTCACTATTGTTGAGCCCTGACTGACCCACGACACTGGCAATGCCACTGGGTTTCCATTTGCTCCATAAGTACAACCCTCATCTCTTCTCCCCCTCCCTTCCACCTTTTGTTTTCTGGTGCACCAACATCTTCACCCATACATGTTGCAATTTTTCTTTTGGCATTCAAAATGTATGCTTTGGTAGCATAGTTAATTTTTATGCTTATGGCCTCAACCATCGCTGGCTGCATTCAGATATAATGACAAACAGATTTTGTACAGGTTGTGTACTCGCCTCCCTCCCCCACTGTGTGTGAAGCACGATTGGAAACTTCCTGGTTTTGGAAGCCTTAAATCAAGTTCCGATTCTCCATGACTCTTGAATACAGGGACCTTGGTTTGTTTTCCAGGTGCACACAGACTGGGATGCTAAACTGGATCAAGTTGAAAATTAGAATACCTGGAGAGCAAACTCTAGTTTTTCTGGGTCCAAGCATTCAGATGCCCTGGAAAATTGTAGGAGAACTGAAGGGCTTCCTGAAACAGAACATTACATGAATGATGGGAAGGGAGGGAGGAGGGAGGAGAACCCACAAGCACAGCAACAAGCAGTGTTTTGTGCCAGTGATTGACAAACCTTTCTTTGTCATTTTATCTGAATGTAGCTTCTGCCCATAAGTGTCATTGCTGTCATGTAGAAATACACAGCTTTGCTTTAAGCATCTCTTCTCTTTCTTACAGCCCGTAATGCTCTGGTGGTCCTGTTTGCTGGTTTGGTGGCCTACTCCTTCCAAGTTAGAGGCTCCCAGCCATTCACCCTCACAGGGACAATACCCCAAGGACTCCCCCCCTTCCAGCCACCACCATTCTCCAAGGTGACACCCAATGAGACAGTCTACTTTGGAGAGATGGTGCAGGTGGGTATTTGGTTTTTATGTCCCCTGTCCTTCTGCAAGGGAAAAAAAATCTCAAGCTTTCTATTTAAACACTTTTAAAACAACAACTAAACAAGCATAGCTAAATATATAAATCCTGGGGTGGACACTACCGCTCTCCTCTGACTCCACTGAGCACAGTGTGAAACTTTCCTCCATCCTAAGGAGACTTCCTCCATCTTAAGTGGCTCTTCCATTGGAGGGAGAGCCACTTAAATTGAAAGAAGCCTCCTTAGACTGGAGAAAGGCTGCATGGAGGATGGGTGGCTCTGCCTCCTTGACTTCCCTACAGACTTCGTAGTGCTAATCTTGGCAAGTTCCTCCTTAAATTAAGGGGACGTTGGTATCCACTTAGCATTGCTTAGCGATTTATCCATTTTTAGCATTTGATGCAGGCAGAACCTTATCTTGGAATTTGGAGGTAGTCCTTTTTATTCCCAGGCGGTCTATAAGGCCTGCGTTCTTCTGCATCCTTAAATGTATTTGAATCATGGTGGAGGCCTGGCTGTGCATTTCGTCCTTGCTCTTCTAAGTTTCAGTATGGTGACTGTTACCATCCTGGGAGGTATCAGACTGGATTTGTGGGAGAGGCAAAGAGAGAAAGCACTGACCTATGTTGTAGCAGAGAAACTCTGGTTTGGATGGAGGTAATCTCAGTGCCTGCATAAAGATAACTAGGGAGCCTTGGAGAAATCATGAAAGCCTTTGCAAGCCATTGTAGTGGCTGGAGTGTTGGACCAGGTTCACGGTACGATGGTCTTGTCAGTTCAATAAATACATTCTTTTATGTCCCCTTTACAGGCAATGGGAGCTGGCTTGGCTGTGGTGCCACTCATGGGGCTATTGGAGACTGTTGCAATCGCCAAGGCATTTGGTAGGGTCTGTATGGGTCCCCAAATGATGGGGAAAGCTGTGTCTCTTAGATCCTTGGCATTTTCCATGTTAGCTGGGTAGCAGTCCCCCCCCCCTGCACCTGCACATGGGCATTCAGCTCTGTGGATGCCACAGAGAAAGAGGCATGCAGTCTGTCCCACCACTGCAGTATCATTAGCTGTCCATCGGCCCTGCACCTTAGTGAGAGACAGCATTGTATAATGGTTACAATGTTGGACTAGGATCTGGGAGACCCAGAGTTGAATTCCCACTCACCACGGGGAAGGCTTGCTTGGTCACCCTGGGTAAGTCACACCCTACCAGCCTAACCTACTTCGCAGGGGTGTTGAGGATAAAATGTAGGAGAGGAGAACAATGTAAGCTGCTTTGGGTCCCCATTGGGGAGAAAGGTGGGAATAAATTGAGTATATAGATATCGCCCCATGCAGAAGCATCTCCCACAGTTTCATGTACGCATGTGAAATGGGCACAATTTCTGTCAGAGTCATGGATTAAAGTAAGGAACATTCTCTAGATTCAGATTAGCCAAGTTTCATACTTGGTCCTTCCCTCGACCTTGGAAGGAGAAAACAGCTTTCTCCAGTGGGGGGGGGGGCGCAAAATGGATCTAGGAATGGTTATAGCTCCTTATTCCTTGTTGGTTGTTGCACTCCCTTTTGCTTGCTGCAGTGCATTGTGGGGTTCTTAGAAAAGGGAGCTAATAACAAAGCGGGTTTAACCAGTCTCTTAATTTCTCTCTTGCCTTCTAGCATCTCAAAATAACTACCAGATTGACCCTGATCAGGAGCTGTTAGCCATGGGTAAGAATTTTGTATGGATGGGTTGGATGCCATTGACTGCATAAGGCTGGACCTTATATTTTGAGGGATGCCCAGACAGAGTACAGATACATCTGAGAGGGAAGAGGCATGTCCACAAAGGAAAAAGATTTCTGAAATGTCTGCCAAGGCCAGTTGCTCAGATTAGCATGTAGGAGGAAGAGGCCTTAAGGACAAGTATAGCACATGAAGAAAACAACACCCTCACTCCCCCATCTTAGCATTGTTCTCAAAGTCGTCCTGCTGAGGCCAGGAAGTGGGACTCTCCATCATTATTTCTTAAACCCTCTTCCTCCCCCTCCAGGTTTCACTAATCTCTTTGGATCCTTTGTCTCATCCTATCCCGTCACAGGTAGCTTTGGCCGGTGAGTAAAATCTAAAGTGGGTGGAACCACCTTCATATGACAGGTGCATCAACTGTATTAAAAGTGTGAGCTGGTGCCATAACTCTGGCACAACTGTTCTTCAAAAAGAGCAGTTTCTGTCAAGAGTTCTCTCAGCCCCACCAAAGGTGTCTGTTGTGGGGAGGGGGAGGGAAAGGAGTTTGTAAGCCGCTCTGAGACACCTTTGGGTAGTGAAGGGCGGGGCATAAATCCAATCTCTTCTTCTTCTTCTTCTTCTTCTGTAAGAGTAGTAAAGCCCAGCTCCGCAGGTGCTTTCTCAGAATCACTTCCTGTGGATGGGTTACTTCTTTAAAACACTTTAACTACCCAGATTGTGTATACATGCTGATGGGTGAAACTGGGATTTGAACCTATTTCGGTGAGGACGAATATAATGGAGGATTAGCTAATTTATCTGGTCTTTTTATTTTAGGTTCCAGTGTTTGGTTGTCCTTGCTCTTATTACTGATGTATGTTGTTAGGCATTTTGAGAACCCAATATAGCTGGTTTAAGTAAGGCATACATTTTCATAGAAATAAGTCCAGATCAGTTAATGTGGAGTACAAGGGGTAGGTGGTGCTTGAGGCTTTTTCTGAGGTTTGCTGCCAAGCAGAAACCAGTGGGCTCACCTCAGGCTTCAGGAGAACTGCCTCATCGACAGGCAGAATCCTTGCATGTCTTTGAATCCAGGTAACCACTGCAAGGACCTTGTTCCCTTTAACCTGTCCACATTTCCAGCTTCCCCTGTAAGCTTCTTGGAAGATTACTTCCCCAAATGGCATTGTTTGTGTTACAGGACAGCCGTGAATGCCCAGACTGGGGTGCGCAGCCCTGCAGGGGGACTAATCACAGGTAGGCACTCCCTCACTATTGAACGTGGGGCATTGTTAACGGCTGTTACCTAAGCCAAAGTATATAACATACCATATCATTAGCTGTTCTTCTTACCCCTTTGGGGATGAAACCCGGACCACATTTGGAAAGAGAGACGTAGACAGCCTGTTCAGAAATAGACAGTTATAACAAGTAGAAAATCTGCTGCTATGGATGCCATTGAAGAATGTGTGTGTGTGTGTTTATGTTGTGTGAAATCCTGACGATTATGTCAACCTGATGGTCTGGTTATTTAAGGCTACTAGTGTGAATAGTACACTGTGAATGGTTGTGTTAGAAAGAAAGCCTTGAGTGGCTTTCAGAATAAGATTTTTTCATTTCTGAGGAAGTGATTCATACCAACATTAGTTTAAAATGGAAGAGTCAGCAGAGAAGGTGGCTGGAAGTTTCAAGTATTTATCAACAAACATTTTAATGTTTCTGTATTAAAATGAAACAAAAGATAATCAGTAGCCACATTAGACAACAGAAAAATCCCAAAATAAAAGGGAAGAGTGAAAAAGGTGTTTTAAGCTTTGCACACATGATTTGATTAGACTTCTAGGAAAAAGAAGGGGAGTGGAGTAGACCAGACAGTGATTGAACACTTTCCAATCTGATTAAGCTCCAGTTTGCCGTGGTGTCCAAATGCAGGCAGTTCAGCCAGTTGAATCCTGTCTCCCTCCACAACCTGAGGTGCCTGCATTCAGACACCACAGCAAACTGGAGTTTAATCTAACTGGGAAATGTTTAATAAGCTCGGCCTGCTTGAGGTGTGTGTGTGGGGGGGAGGAAACAGAGCAGACAAGCCGTGATCATGCCCAGTGTCAACAAACCACTGTTTTAAAAGTGTGTGTTATGAACACAGCCCTGGAGGGCCCAGGTTAGCCCGATCTCATCAGATATTGGAAGCTCAGCAGAGTCAGCCCTGATTAGTATTTGAATGGGAGACCACCAAGGAAATCCAGGGTCTCTACACAGAGGCAGGCAGTGGCAAAACCACCTCTGAAACCTCTCTTGCCTTGACAACCTACAGCAGGGGTGTCAAACATAAAGCCCAGGGGCCGGAACCGGCCTGTCCAGGGCTCTTATGTGGCCTGCGAGCAACTGGTGCAAGGGAGGGAACGGGAGACTGCTCATGGGGGATTGTGGCTTCAGCATGGCAGAACAACCTTGTTTGCAGCAGTCAAGCAGCGTGGGAGCATCTGCCCAGTGCTGCACCGCTCGCTCTCCATGCCATCCATACAGGTTTTCCTTTACAACCCCCTCCCAGCCCATGAGGCCTTGCCATGAGGATACACCAGCTCAGAGCTTACCAGCCACTGTCCTTTATACAGTTTATATCTCCGGTACCTGGCCTTACGTTTTATGGCACACGTGGCCCGGCCTGACAAAGTGACATTCATGTCAGAGCCAGCCCTCCTACCGAATGAGTTCAACACCTCTGACCTACAGGGTCACCATATGTCAGCTGTGACTTGAAGGCAGTTTCTACCACCATGAAGGCAGCCCTGGTGTCCGTTTTGCAGAACTGTAGTGCTGAATCTCAGTGTTCCCTCTAAGCTGACTTAGTGTGAGCTAGCTCACAGTTTTTTAGCCTCCGGCTAAGGAAGGATGGCTCCAGAGCAAACTAATCTATGCAGTAGCCAAATTGCCCGCTCACAACTTTTAATGCCAGCAGCTCAGAAAGTAGAAGTTTTGCTCACAAGACTCCACAGCTTGGAGGGAGCATTGCTGATTACTGATTAGCTGGCCACCAAAGCTGGATGGTTATTCCCATCTTGGCTGAATGATATAGCACCGTGTTACAGGATGGTTTTGGGGGTTAAATATTGTATTTTATTGTATGTTTTATTGTATTTTAGATTCCGGCTTTGCCGCCTGTGAACCGCTCTGAGCCTTTAGGAGGGCGGTATAGAAATCCAACAAATAAATAAATAAAAACAGAATCAGTTAGTGATCTTTTTATGATGATTTAATCCTGACAGAGGAAATGTATCTTATAGCTATGAAGGCAGCTGAGGCTTAGTTATCTTTATTCTTAAATTCTGGGTTGGCAGTAATGGAGTGTTTCAAATGCAGGGAGCAATCCCGTGTAGGTCCACTCAGAAGGAAGTCTCATTTTATTCAGTGAAACTTATTCCCAGGAAAGTGTTTCTGAGGCATAGCTCCTGCTCGCCACATAGGGCGATCTGTCTGGTCCACCCAGCCTAACTGTGTTTTGTTCTCCGGCACAGCATATTCCTCTCTTGGTGCGATGCCTGCAGTACTGAGTCACTTGTTCTCTCTCTCCGCAGGGGCCCTGGTGCTGCTGTCTCTGGCTTTCCTTACTTCTCTCTTCTACTACATTCCCAAGGCTGCTCTGGCAGCTGTCATCATCTGCGCAGTGGCTCCTATGTTTGACGCTAGGATCTTCCGTACATTGTGGCAGGTTAAAAGTATGCACATGGATGTCCTATTCCTTTCAGAGTTCAAAAGCTGGGGGTTCTTGCAATGCTTCCTTACGAAATTTATTACAGTTCTTTGAAACATTCTGTCTGTATTTTTGGCTGAAATGGGGACAGCAGGAAAGCTGGTTATAACTTATTTATTTGATTTGTACCCCGCCCTCCCTGCCAAGGCAGGCTCAGGGAGGCTGACAATAAAATGTAAACAAATTTAAAAACAATTTAAAACCATAAAAACAATTCTGAGGTGCTAAATATTACATATAAATATTGCATATGTGGTGACGAAACATAGTTTTTAGATGTTTCTGTAATGGGTATCCAGTCAGCGTTAGCTTATAGGACTACCGTCCAGCCCATAGTATATTAAGAACAGCATGATACAATAGCCTTTAATAGATTCCAGGGCAAGGTTCTGATGTATGTACCACAATCAAATGCCTGGTGGAAGAGTTCCATCTTGCAGGCCCCGCGGGCCCTGATATCCTCAGAGAGCTCATTCCACCAGCATAGATCTGCCACAGAGAAGGCCGTAGACCTGGTCATGGCCAGCCTGGCATCTTTAAGGCCAGGGAGAGCCAGGAGATTCTGTGTCCCTGAACGCAGTACTCTCTGGGGAACATATGGGGAAAGGCAGTCCCTCAGATATGCTGGCCTCTGACCATACAGGGCACCCACACCTTGAAGCGAATTCGGTATGCTATAGGCAGCCAGTGCAGTGCTTTCAGTGCAGGCTGAATGTGCTCTCACAGAGAGAGACCCAAGAACAGCTTGGCTGCCATTTTCTGTACCAGCTGCAGCTTCTGAATTTGGCTCATTAAAAAGGACCCAATCCAAGTGCTGTACAAAACTTGAGTTATTCAAAAAATATCTTTCTCCAAAGTTTTCTTCATACAAAAGTATTACAAAAAGACAGTTTCAAAGAGTGGAACAACAAAGGCAACGTAGGTTTAAAGACACTATGAATGCAGTACCATATCTTGTGCTTAGGCACACAATTCCAAAATAAAGTCTAACAGTTTAACTCCCACGTTGCCTAATAGAAGGCACAGCTGTATAATAAACGTTCTGTTTTTAGAAGGCACAGCCATATAATTAATGTTCTGTCCTGACAGGGCGTGTCAGCCTTCTTTCTCCCGTTTCTCAAAAGAGCTTTGTCTGAGAAGTGACTGTGACCTGTGTAAAATACAAAGCACATGCCTAAAAAATTCTACTCAATTACCTGTTAGCAACACTGAGTTACAAATATCTTAAAAGGTTTTTACCAGTCTGTGGCAACACTTTTTCTTTCAGTCTTGAAATCAGTAGCCTGAAGCCTACAGTCTTCTTTCCAAGTTCTATGGCATTCTAAAACCCCACCTAGAGGGATACCTTAAAACCTAAAGGTTCAGATCCCTGGTGTGTGGCTAATCAGAGCATCTTTAATCCATTTAAAGATACAGTATCAAAGAAAGCTTTATATACTCTTTAACTCGGGGCTATTTTTGGGCAGGAACGCACAGGAATGGAGTTCCGGCTGGCTCCTGAGTTGGCCACGCCCAGCAGGAGCTCATTAGCATAACAGGCTGCACCGAACAGCAGAAACTCATTAGAATTGGCTGCATTAGGGGTGTGTGGCCTAACATGCAAAGGAGTTCCTGCTACAAAAAAAGCCCTGGGTTTTGACAACAAACAAGGTAAACAGAATAAGAAGCAAAAGGTGGGTGTGGCTGGATGACCACACTTCTGGTAACACAGGGGTGTGACCTAATATGCTAATATGTTGTACTATCAGGGGTGTGGCCTAATATGCTAATAGGTTTCAGATGTTGGGTGTGGCCTATTATGTTAATGAGTTCCTGCTGGGCTTTTTCTACAAAAAAAGCCCTGCTTTAACTTATAAGGTACCTGCACTACTAACTTATAAGAAACAAGAATAATCATTTAGCATATTAAGACCAGTTGGATACAGTGTCTGTAAACGAAAAATTAGTCTTGCCTCCTGCTGTAATCATACCCAATGACTCGGCATCCCTACATATTTAAAAAGCACCTTGAATCTTAAATGATAAAACAATGTCTATATCCAATTCCTATCCAACTTGTAATGCTACACTAGCATCTAACTTAATCATCTACAAACTGTTTGAATCTTAACAATCAACAAATAAATTCATTCTGTGATTAATATAGTAGGGTAATTAATAAATTAGCAATTAATTCGTTGTTCAGACAGGGGAGAAGTGTGGAAGTTACACCTCGATCCCTGTCTCTTCCTTACTTGTTTGATGTTTGTAAGACAAGAGGGGAGCCCTTTCTTTCCACCTCTTCAGATCCCAGGTCAGCAAAGTGCTATACCTGTGGCACAACATTTTTACCATCCATGCAGCAAATTTAGGTCATTGTCTAAAGTTTAGAGCGGATATTTAGACTTTGCAATACTCAGAAATTCCCCCCCCCCATACTATTTGGAATTCATGGCTATTATCTTAAAAACCATTATATGAGCGCCTCCAATGATCCGTGCAATTTTCCTGGACCTGTATCTGTGAATGTCAGCTGGCTGGAACTGAGGATTCTGTTCCATGTGAAATCTTGTTTGCCTCATGCCATATTTACACATGGAGGCACTTATCTCTTCATCTCTTCAAAACAATCTGCCCATGAAAACCTTTCCTTCCTTAGTTGTATGCATTTATTTATTCATTTAAAGAATACTGGCATCTGGTGGACAAAAGGAACATTTACCAAAGGAGGATTTTTGCTAGTGAAGTGCTGTGTGTATTTTCTAAAACAAGGCATAGTCACTTATGTTTGCTTTGGGAAATACAGTGACCTTTTTACTAGTAGAAAAACACCCATGGAAATTTTCTCTGTTGTTGGATCCATATGATACTGGAATATAATGCAGGTTTCCACTTGGGTTCTCCACTCTTTTGACTGTGGTAGCCCAAGGCCCTTTTCTCACTTGATCTCGATAAAACTAATGATATAGAATTTAGATCCAGGTGGGCAGCCTTGTTGGTCTGAAGGACAAATTTTGAGTCCAGTGGATAGATGCACTTTTGTTTTCTGTGGCTACTTAGATACCCTCCTCACAGCTATCAACTTCTGCTTACTTAATTAGCCTCTCCGCTGTTGTTTTCACTGGAGTGACATTGGAATCAGCCACATGTCATACAGCAATAATCACATGGCTGTAAGGGTAAAATTCTCCCTAGGAGCATTTGAATGTTACATACTCCCTACTCATGCTTAGACTGTTGTTTTCTATGGTGTGGGCTATAATACGGTTAATGGCGATCCATTGCAAGAGCAAGGGATATTGAGAGAATTTCAGAGATGAAATGTATACAATGTGAACATTGGCTTGTTTTGTCCTTTATTTCCTGTTGCCTTTTACACCCTTCATTATTAGTCACCTTAGTACTCTATTTGTAAGGTACACGCTCTTTAGTAAAATCTTCATAGTAAGAAAGGAAGTTTTGTCTCTTTCATTCTCCATGTTGTCTGTATTAGCCACTTTGCTACAGGAAGCGACAAGTCAGTGACTGGGATTTATGTGTTCATCTCTCTCAGGGCTGGACCTGGTGCCACTCTGTGTGACATTCTTGCTCTGTTTCTGGGAGATGCAGTATGGCATTGTGGCAGGTGTGCTGGTCTCAGCTATTCTTCTGCTCTACCCCATTGCCAGGCCACAGATAAAGGTTTGTTTAGCTTGAGTCAGAAGCAGTTTGAGACTGGGAAGTGTCACTGGTGACCAAGGTCAAAATAATTCATACCATAGTATTCTCCATGACTATGTATGGGTGTGAAAGTTGGACAACGAAGAAAGCTGAGGGGAAGAAAGTTGATTCATTTGAAGTGTAGTGTTGGAGGAGAGTTTTATGGATACTGTGGAATGCCAGAAAGACAAATAAGCGGTTCTAGATCAAATCAAGGGTGATCTCTCTCTAGAAACCAAAAGGACTAAACTGAGGCTGTCATGCTTTGGTCCCATCATGAGAAGACAATAGTCACTGGGAAATACTAGGAAAAGTCAAAGGCCACAGGAAATGAGGAAGACCCAACATGAGATGAATTGACTGTATCGAGGAAGCCACGGCCCTCAGTTTGCAAGACCTGAGCAAGGCTGTTAATGATAGGACGTTTTGGAGGTCATTAATTTATAGGGTTGCCATAAGTTGGAAGTAACTTGATGGCACTTAACACACACACACACACACACACATATTCATATTTCCTTCCCTTTCGGGCTTGGGTCACAGTGAACTTCAGCAGTTTAGCCCACTGGAAGGATGCTCACTGCTGTGTAAACACATCTATAGGATTATTTTTTCCCTTGAGGAGGGCAGGGAGACCTTTCATTCTGAACAGAAATGGGATTTTCACAGCACTGATAGACCATCACGTAAAACAGAATCATGGAGCAACTTCTCCTTCCCCCTCTGATCCAGGCTATGCACAGCAATGATTGGATGGCCATTGTGTTAGTTTGGTTGGTTAGCCAAGCCCCCCCCCCCCATCCCTACTGGGCCCAATTTCAAGATTTAACTAGACAGTGGGGGACTTTTAAAAAGAGAACAAGGCACCAAACAAACAGAGTGGATAAACCAGCTGCCCACTTGTAAAATAAATAAAACAGGCCGCTCACCTTGAAGCAAGAGGGGATTGAGAAGAAATAGTGCTGGAGCTGAACACCTGTCCTTTGAGGAGTGAAGCTGGGGGAAAGAAAAGCTCACTTTGTAACTGAAAAGCCTGTACCTGCTCCTCTTTAAGAGTATGTGAGTCTTTACCTTTTAAGTGTGAGACTGGCAATGGTTGTCCCAGGCAATGCAAAGTATTAATAATAGAATTTCTATTACATGTATGTCTATTTCTGTCATCAAGCCAACTTTCAACATGGCTGAGATTCTTCGTATAAAGAAGAGATACAACAACTTCTCTACAAGGAGCAATAGCATATGGGTGGATTTCCTTTAGCTTAAAAGAGGACAAGGATGTAAATTGCTGGAGAGTAACAAATGTCATCTGATGCTCACACCCAATCCTCCTCCCAATTTCTCCTGCAGGTGTCTGAGCATGAGACAATACTCTTACAGCCTTCCAGTGGCCTGTGTTTCCCAGCCATTGAGTTCCTCTGTGACACTGTGCACAAACAAGCTCTATCAGGTAAAATGTATAATTAGTCACTCTTGATACTTGGGTGTTAGCTGTGAGGAACTGAACTGTAACCAGAGGTTTGTATAATTAGTCACTCTTGATACTTGGGTGTTAGCTGTGAGGAACTGAACTGTATCCAGAGGTTAAAAAAAATCTCTTAATAAAATCTGAGCAAAATGACCAAGCATCCTTAGTGTGAGATAATTGTATTTACACAGGAACTGTCCCTTAAGGCCAGATGTGTTGGCCTGGGGAGATGAACACCTGAACACCAGCATATGTTCCTGGTCCCCAGTTCCTTTAAAAAATGTGTTGGATCCAACCAGCTTTTCTGCTGGTGGAAAAGGAAGGTGGTATCCTCTTTGACCACCTGAAACGACTACACCAAGAATTATGGGACCTGCATGTACAGAAGTCATGTGGGATGAGCACTGTGGGATGGATGTGAATTAGATTGAGTGTAGGAGCTGGCTGGATCCAACTCATTGTCTCACCAAATCTTGTTACTACATGGGTTTCAATTAAGAAATGAGCTTTGTGTAATCAAGAGTTCTGTGTCTAGATAGGGACTTCGCTTGTCTTACGGAAACTCCAGAGGCAGCTCCTGACAGAACATCAAGCTAGCCGTAGAGCCAGTCTTGCAGTGTGCAGTTTTCATCCCTTCAGGGCTTTATGGAGTCACTAACCTGCCATTGTCCCACTGGCAGTATTGCAGATGGAATGAGGAAGCTGTTAATGGCATATGTATTGTAAATGGTGCTGGGGAGTCTTAATACAGTCTCAATCCTCTACTGTAGGAAAAGGAATGGTGCATTATGTCAGCGAGCTGCCATTTCTCTGGGACGTGTCCCTCTTCCCTCCCTCCCCGTGTTATTCTCTTCTGGTATGCGACTGTAACTGCCAAGCTTCTCCTACAGGTGGATGACGGAGTGTTATGTCTTCTTGCCTTGCTTACTTAGATTCCCGTGTGAACTGAACTTGTGTTTATGGTATGAGCCGTTGGAGTTCTCAGGCTGCTTCGCGCCTTTTCTAATCAACTCCCTTGCGAGGGAATTGAGCCCATTGGGTTAACCAAGTTTAAAGTTCCTATATTATATTGCCCCTGTGTATTGTAGTCATTCTGGACAATTCTCTGTATGTTCATGATCAACCATGCTTTGGAAATAAATCTTACTTCTCTGGAACGTGGGTTTGTTCTCCTGCTTTGGGATCTGACATTTTGTCCAGAATCCTCTTTCCCCCTCACCCCGAGTCTGGCATCGATCATGAGCGGGGCCGAAGGGAAATCCTTTTTCTGGGCAGAGGACCGAGGTGCCGTCCCGGACACTGCCTTACCATCGGACTCCATGGAAGCCCGAGGTGCCGTTGGGGGAGCGATCCCGAGGCATGAGACTATTCCTTGGCCTCCTCCTACCCCATCGCAGTGGGGAAAACGAGCGGTC